ATACTATTTCTCGGGCATTAGGTTTTAACTCTTATAAGAATATCAGAAACGAAACTAATTCAAATCGTAGATTTAACTCAAATCGAGACCCTTATTCCTTCTCTAATAAAAAGAGATACCATTTTGTTTTCGGTTGTACAAGAAAGAAGATCAAGCATTTTTCTTTTTTAAATTTAATAAGCCACATTAAAGAAGGAACGTTGCAATGCTACACGCTACATTAACGACGTCTCCAGAGTAACTGAATGACGGTTCATATGGAAATCGCAGGTAAGCGTCTCATACAACAACGCCCCCTATAGTTCGTTGCGATCGCGAATACATTTCTGAAAGCTCTTATGAATACAATTATGTTTAGATTTGAACCCAAATTACAATAACAAAACTGCATAGAATATTAGGCTTGTTCACACATCGCCTCGTAGTCATAACATAAGCGGAGGGATACACCGGAAATTTTCTAAATTTCTTCCGGCTTAAGGACGCTTGTTATTATTTACATTGAACCACCCATCCATACTTAAAAAATGAAAAGAAAATTTTTAAATTACTAATTTTAAGTCGTCCGGGCCACTCTAAGGGTCATTTTCACTGGATGGGATTCTTTCCACCTGCAAACAAGAAGCTGATTGGAGAATTTTTCGCTGGAAAATATTTTCCCATTTATCCGGTTCTCATTCATACACACCTGCGGTTGGTCTTCGATATAACTATGAAATATATTTCATATTTTAAGAAATAAAAAATGTTTGATTGACTTGATTAAAAATTCATTTTTATTTTCCAAGCTTCAAGTTAAGAAAATTTAACTAATCGATAAATTTCGTTAAGTTTGGAATCTGGCAATATTTTTTTATTAATTACGAAAAATGGAGTTTCAGATTATTAACAAATTCATTTTGCCGGTATTAAGCTTTGTAATCGCAGTGTTCGGAATCTATCAACTATATTCTCATCGTGAAAAAAATATGTGCGAGATGACATACATGTTTGAATACCCAGAATATATGGTATGCTCCATAGTTTATATACAAATAATAAATCAATTTATTATTCATGACCTGCTTTGTAAACTCGTCTTATATTTGATTATTATTTAATACTATCGGAATATTTCTTTCCAATTTTCTCACAATGGTGTGTATATTTTTTCCGTTTCTGTTATAATGTAGGTTACAATTTTATAACCCAAACACATTGATTTATTTGTTTGATGTAATAAATATATTTAAGGTTGGTATTTACTTCTGCTGGTTTTTAAAAAGTTATTTCTTAATGCTTATATAGCAGGCATGAAAGTGTACAAAAATAAAAGAAGCTGAACTTTTACAATGCAGATCACTGGAAGGAGGGGGGGGGAGTGTTTTATGTGATATTGATGACATATATAAAAGTAACTTTTAACTATGCCGGGAGATTTTTATATAATATTTAAAGTGACAGATAAATTTCGACAGTTAACTTTAAATTTTTTTAAATATAATTTTAAAATTTTGATCACTAAAGGAAATTAAGCAATTCTAGGAAGTCACGACTATGAAATTACTTATTAATGAACAATATCACATCTTTACAGTAACTAATTCAAGAGAAAACTTACCTCTTACCTTACGATGCATAATTTTTAAATAGCATACAAATACGAAAAATGATGCCTGCTATTACAACTACGTGATAACGAACCGAAATATTAGATTTTAAAATCGCGTGAATATGAATCACGATATTGGATTTTAAAATAGCGTAAATATGAATCGCTATTTTGGATTTTAAAATCACGTAAATATGAAACGCGATAATAGATTTTAAAATCACGTGAATATGGAATGCGATACTGGATTTTAAAATCTTGTGAATAGGAATCATGACTTTGGATCTAAAAATCACGTGAATATGAATCACGATAATGGATTTTAAAATGGCGTGAATAGGAATCCCGATTTTGGATTTTTAAAATCGCGTGAATATGAGTCGCGAATTTGAATCTTAATATCGCGTGAACATGAATCGCGCTGTTAGATTTTAAAAACACGAAAATACAAATTGCGATATTGAATTTTTAAATCGCATAAATAAGAATCCCGATGCATAATGTTTAGATCATGTGAATTCGAATCGCAATGAGTAATTTTTAAATACCTTACAAATACGAAAATCGCTGTCTGCTATTACAAGTGCGTGATAACGAATCTCAATATTGGATTTAAAAATGCGTGAATACGAATTGCGACGTTGGAATTCAAACTCGCGGGAATACAAATCGCGATATTGGATTTTTGAATTGAGGGAATTGCTAGTACGATTTTTAAATCACGTAAAAAATCGCAACAAGTAACTTTTAAATCAGTTAAATACGAAAATCGTTGTTAGATATTAAAATCGTCTGATTAAGAATCGAGATTTTAGCAGATTCCGGCGCAGTTCCTAATATTTAAAATTCCGAAAATCAGACCAAAAAAAATTAGAAATTGAATATTGGAGGTTGAAACGAAACTACTTTAGACTCCTTTTCACTCTACAGCGGAAGTCGCGGTTATCAAAGCTCCACCCATTTTCGTCTGAAGATTATTTTCTCAGGAGGCTACTGCAGGGGAGAAAAAGTTCGTTCCAAGTCTGACTATCGTTCGGGCGGCTTGGGTTTCTCGCATTGGACTCCCCAAAAAATTTAGTTTTTAGAAAATGTTCGGAAATTTTAAAAATTGGGAGAAAAAAGCGGATTTCTGCTTTTTCGCGGAAGTCTTTCATCCCTGATATAGGGAAGAATTCCGTATCGATATCAATGCAAAAATAAGCTTCAAGTTGCTTTTCATAACCAAAAAGAAAAAAGGCAAAGAAAGACCAACTCAAAAGATATCTCTCCGAGCGATACACAACATTTATTTTTAAACTTTTGTCAGCAATAAAGAACCTTTTTGCGAGGATAGTTGTCTTCATCAGGTACTGATTCAGAATTCACTCTATAATCAAATTAGTGGGTACAACCTGTTTGTGAAACAGACTGCAAAAAGATGTATAGATATTATTCATATTTATAAATATTTCTTTTGCTTTTGGGGTCTGAAATAAATATGGTTTTTAAACTCTAATTTTCTAATTGTTACTCAAGTATAAATAATATCATATTATCCTAAAAATTAAATAGAGTAAAATTATTAAGGTATATGCATAATATTTTTGAATTAAAAGCACATTTTAATTTTTGTGCACTTTGTCTTCAATAAAATTAGAGAATAGCATGTATTAAATTTTTCCTGACATAGGTCTTTGAACAATATTTAATTTTAGCATGTTTTGATAAAAATTTAAAAAAAGGGATTTGACTTTGAATAAGTAGCCTTATTATAATTTTTGCATTTTTTTTTTCAAATTTATTCAAATTAATTTGAAATACAGAATAAAATTTCTTATGCTAACTGATATAGTTAAACTCTTGAATTATTTATTGACTGGAAGACTGAGACCGCACAGCTATTGACTATTTAAATGCCAGAGGCTATACACGCTAATTTTAGCTATAAAAAATAATTAAATTACCAATAATAACTTACTTTTTAAAGAAATTTTAATTATTGAAAACAAAACATTTCTTAAACTTTTAAAAGAAGTACATAAGTTATTTTTTGTTATTAAATTTTTTTTTCGGAGTATTTTACCTATTAAAGAGAATTTTTGAAGTGTATCCCTTCAAACAAAACAAAACAAAATCCATTGAACTCAAGTATTACAATGTGCCATACAGTGTTCTCCTCAAGCGTTTTCATTTAAAAAAGGGTAGCCCTTTGATCCCTATAAATGCACTCTCTTTGTCTTTTTTGTAAAAATAATCCCATAAAAACACTGCTTTTTCAGTCATGTTTCATTTTTAAAAAAGTTACTTCACTGTTTAAATAATAATTAGACACTGGTAAAATTATCTGTCTTTAAAAGTTTAACGCTGATCACTATTACAAAAATTTACATTGTTAGGATTATTCTCAACTCCTTAAATATCTCTTTTCTCAGGGGGGGGGGAGTGATATTATTAATAAATTTTTTAATGATTTTAGTTTTTTAAATAGATAACTTTTTTTAAAAGAAAAACAAACTTTAAATTTCCATTTTCTTATAATTTTTAGTTTAAATTACCCCTCAGTTAAAAACCCCTGACAATGAGGGCCACTCATGTTTCTGTGCAATGAGATATTTTTTATCTTCAATTATGAATTTAAGTTTTTTGTACTAAAATGTGTTTATTTATTTCAGAGAATCCCTATAAAACCTGATCAGTTCAATAAATTTGCTCGCTATGCATTATATGTGTACGGTGAAGGGTAGGCATAAATTTTCTTTAAAATATTATATAGTTTGTAAATATTAATATTTATTTTCACTGTTAAGATGAGAAAAACACAGTGAATTCAAAATGTCAAGCTTTTGTTTTTAATTTTTTGACCATTTCATTCACTCAGATTTATTTCTTATATGTTCTAGTTCTTATATGTTCTAGTTGTGATAAAGTTATTATTCCTAATTCAATTACATTAGATTAGTTATAGTATTGTTTAAAAAAAATATTTCAATTCTAGCATATTTTTTTTTAAATTCTGTTTTTTTATGTAAATAATATTTGAACTCTTGGTTTAAAATTGTTTAATTTCAATGAAAATTTGTAAAGCTAAGAAATATAAAAATTTTAAAGTGAGTTTAACCACAAATCAAATTTTATAAACATCAATATATTTTGTTAAAAATTGTAAAACTTTTAATTTAACATTTGCAAATATAATTATAAAATAAGTACATTTTTTTCCGAAAATAAATTATTTAAGCCTGTTTATCTTTAAAAGGCCAATTAAATTACTAGATTTTAAATTTGACACTTTATCTTAAAATGGGTATCTAAATGACATAATTTACTTACAATAGTCAGACATAAGTAAATAGTTATTACAAGTAATTTTATGGTTAATAACTGCTACAAGTTTTTTTAATTTGAAAATTCTTAGAAGTAAAAATTAGTGATTTTTACTTTTATTAAATATTATTTAAGTATGAATTTCAAAAATTATGTGAAAATTTTTCAAATTCAGGCTGCAAAATGAGAGACATGAGTTTTTAACATTGTTTAATAATTTAGATTAAAAACCTTGTTTATTTAAGTGTTTCATGAATCATATGGGATTTAGGCTGCTGAATGAGGATCTGTGGTATCTGAGAAAGATTATTTGTTCATAGATATGTCTTATTGAGTAAGTCAAACTTAGACAATGACTTAGACAATTCTATATTGTACTTCATTTTACCAAAGAAACATTTTTCATTTTACTTGATAAGAAAAAAAAAAAAAATAAACGAAAAATTTAATTAAGTTTGATTAATTGTGCATTAGCTGCAAGTTCATAATGAAAGATAACACAAGAAATATAAAGAAAGATTACGAAAAAAGGATATTAAGTAAGAGAACAAGAAAAATTACAAATTTTAAAATGATTTAAATCTTTAAAAAAAAACTAATTAATAATTCAAAAATTTACAATGCACAAGATATCTCGTCATCACCTTCCATGACTAAATGCGCAAACTTAGTGTTATCGGATATTGTATAAATATAGTCAAAGCGAAATATATTAATACTATAGTGTGAGGAGCAATAAAAAAAAATAAGGCCTGATTCATTTAAACATAATTTAATCATGCAAAAATATTTCAAAATAAAACACAAGAGCATATAAAGGTAGAAGGGAGATAGATGTCATATACTAACAATTAGTTTGCAAAAATGATTAAAAAATGTATCCATAACTAATTTGCCAATTAACAAAATATAAAAAGCTGAATACAGGGTAGTAGGGTGTATTTTTTTTAGGTGCATTTATACTGCAGTTAAAAACCCTATCTGATTTGTTTGTTTTCATGAATTGGCTTTAAAACTGGATTTGCGCATAATTCAAAATTCATACTGCATAATTCAAAATTCATACTGGATAATTTAACCCATTGAATTCATGTTAGCTGTTCTGAATGGTTATCGGAATGGTTCTGAATTGATATCAGTCCTAGTTTTTTCATTGAAACCTTCCCACATCGTAACTGATCCACATTCCTTGAACATGCTTTGATAGATATAAACAATTATAATTAATAAAAGGCCAAATTTTTTATAGAACATTTTAATTCCATGATTTTTATAAAAATTATTGACATCTATTGATTATTATTTAATGGAATATTGGATGAGGTTGTTGGTTGCTTATAAAATCAACTATCTGCACTAAAGTATAGATCCAATTTTAATTTTTGATTGCTGCAGATTTGCCCCAATTGGATTTGTTCATTTCAACAAATACTAGATAACTGAATTAAATTTATTTAGATAACTTATAAATTTAATACTCAATCAAATCAATTATTTTAAGGACTTTTGTTGGATAACTGTTGTTTCTAATCAAATTTTGAAAAAGTGCACTACCCTACAATAATGGAAGAGACACTTTCATATTTTTGCATTTTTTCAAATTTCTTAAGAAATACTAAGAGAACTATTTTACAACTTTACAGGTGTTTGAGTGATGCAATTTCTCTTATAAATCCATACAGTTTAAAGCTTTTTAAAGGATCGTTTATAAATTACGAACAAAAAAGAGTGTTTTTGAGCACTGAATGCCAAACAATACAGCAATAACTTGTATCGATTATATTGGCTATCACATGTAAGAACTACAAAACATTTGATCAACCTAGCTACAGTATTCATGGAAATATCCACATTTTCATAAAAAGGAAGAAGAAAAAATTGTCTTATATTTTATTACTTCAGTTGTAGAAATATTCAAAAAAAATTCTTCAACATTTTAGTCAAAAGCAAAAATCTCCTTTTAAAAGTTGAAAATTTTTTTTTAAAAAATTGTGCAAGATGTGAGCATTTAAACTAATCCTTTCATACTGTGCATGAGTGGAATTTTTTTTTTTTTTAATTATGTTCTAAATCACGTTTAGTAACGTGTGACAGAAGTCTAATTTGACTATTTTGAAAATTTAAAAAGTGTCTAATAATTTTCTTAATAGTTTTTGTAAATTTGGAATGAAAACTCAAAATGCTAAGGGGTTTCTCCCAAATTTTATTTTGTACTATAAAACTTGATTTATTGTAAATGACACCAGCATTATGGAGGACCTTCCCCTGCTACTATTTAGTTCAGGTTTTAAAAAAGAAATTCTAAAATTGCATTTTGAGACAGTTAAACGTGGTTAGAAAAGAATGTTAATAAACTTTTGAGTGGTACTCTAATATATTCAGAAAATTAGCTTGAACTGCAATTTTTCATCTAAATTTTATTTTTTTATTTTCAGGAAATATTTTGAAGAAATCGAGTAAGTATTCAATACAGTTTTATTTACTTTTAAAATTATTAACATACTTTAATTTTTTTAATGAGAGAAAATATTTCGAATAATGCTAAGTTGGGTGGAATAAATATTCTTAAATACATTGCTCCTGACTTATCATATTTTCATCTTACCATTATTTTTACACTTAATCTTATTATCTTTACACATAACTTTTTTAATTAAATATTATTTTCAATGTAATAACCATATTTTTTGTTAGTATTTAAGGTACATCATATTTTTGGTTTTGAATGAAATTGAGGTGCTGCCATTGTCAATGTGAAGAAAAAAATTCAGACTTTTTTCCAGAATTACTTTAAACTAGTTCCCTACATTTTTGGTCCTGCCCCAAGTACATTAAAACTTTTGAATCTCCCTGCTTGATTATACTTACAGAATAAATTAAAAATAGGTTTTATAGGTCAATATATGGGATGACTCCCAAGAATTAAATTTAACAGATAAAGAGTAAAGATATGGAATGGCTTCCAAAAATTAAGTTTGGTAGGTGAAGACTCTTCATCTACCAAGCTTAATTTTTAGGAGTCATTCCATATTTCGAAAAATTCTATTACAGTAAAACCTCTCGGTAGCGACCACTCTCCAACCCCCGTGGCAGAATCGCGGCGACACAGCGACATTGTCGCAGAATGTTGCTGAGTTCTTGCAGAAAGAGTTTTCTGTTAGGAAGTAAGGAATTTTTGTTTTCTTTTCTGCAGAAATTTTTTTTTTCTAAAATTATAATTAAAAGATGCCTTTTTAGCACATCACAGAGGAAAGAAATTTCTTTTATGTAGAAATGTTGAATGATTTTTTTCCCTCCAGAAATCATTCTTTTGACACGCTTATTTTGCGCCAATATTCTTGTTAATCCACGCTCTATTTTCGTATTTTTAAGCGAAACAAATCCCGATGTTTCTTATACAGCTTAATTATACTCGAAACTGAAATCAGTTATTTACTTTTACTGTGACGATTTCACCGTTTTTCGGCTTTTTGTTAAATGTGCTATGCTACTGAATTCCATGGGATTTTTAAAATTCCTGTTATTTTTTAGTCCAATATTACTTCGACACGTAAAATTTAAATTGCGCTATTAAATAATCTCTTTTTGAGGCTCTCACTTTATGCCGGTACTACCACAAATCCATGTAGTGCTTAGATTGTATTTTCGGCAGTTTATTGATATTGATTTTCCCGTGATTTTTAAGTATCCCGATATATTTCTGACAATATGGGGAACTCGAACCATGCTTATGAATAATTAAAACAATGATTCTATGGTTTTTCTTTTTTTGGGGGGGNTTATTTCACACAGTCTTTAAAATCCTATATTTTAAATACGATATTATTTATTACAACATCCGAATCTCGAAACGAAACAAGCATTTAGTAACACCCCTCCCTTTGAAGAGTCCGATCAGCGTGATTTCGCCGTCGATCTTGTTTTCAGCAGTCAGTGCTATGGATTACAAGATTTGTAATTTTTTTTTGAGAGATGATGTTTTACGAAATGCGAAAAAAGAAATAATTAGTGTGTTTTCTTCGTACAAAATGGGAGAATCTCGCCATTGTATTAGAATAATATATATATAAAAAAAAACATTGCATATTCATTTAAAAATTAAATACGATTTTTATTTTATTCAAAAATTTTTTTTTATTGTGAACGCAACGTTTCTCTTACTTCAAATTCAATTAGTAACATGCATACTTGTTATTATTAAAAGCATCTTGCAGAAAGATATTAGTGCTAGAGAGGTTTGTCGCAGAAATCCCAAGAAAATTCTGCCACAGGGTTTCCAACCCACAGTAAATGGGGTTGGTCATTCTTAGAGGTTACTTCGATTGACTTCAAAAGTGTGATTGAAGGTACATAATTTTTCAATAATGATTTTAATTTCAGTTTTTTTTGTTTTTGTTTGTGTGTGTGTGGAAATGCCACTTCTGTTGACGTCATGAAAAGACGATTCTATGAGTAAAATTTGATGTCTATAAAAATTATCCCAACTGATATAATTATGTGTAAAAACAAATTTACCAATTATGAATGATTTTATTACCACTATTTAATTAAGCTGTTTTAAATAAATAAACAATTATGTTTTTTGTTTAGGTTTGCATTTAATTTTATATCATAAAATTTAGTTAGCTTTAAAATGGGAGAAGAGGTTTGTTTATTTGAGTTGCTTGTTTTTCTTAAAATAACATTTTCTTCTCTTTTAACTCTAAAAGTAAATCATAGCATCATCTTTAGTGCACTCTGACTGCAACATGAGGTAGTGTCATCAAAAAGAGCTTGTTTATTGAACCAAATCTATTGTATATCTATTTCTGTATTTTCATCTGTGCTTTTAGCACATTAATTTTTTGCTTTTTAACTATACTGTAATTTCATTAATTCATATATTAATATGAGGATATATATATGTGATAGTTTTTAATTTCTTTAAATGCATGTACTTTTTATTTTGCAATAACCAGTTTGAGAAATTCTACTTTATACTTAAAACACATATATATTAAGATTGAATTTTAAGCTATAAAGATTTCTGAAAAAAAAACTTTACACAACTGTGCAAAATTGTATTCCTGTTTATTAATGTTATTTAAATTATTTTTTTTAAACAGAAATGGGAAATTATCTGGAATTCCAGTCCTGTTTATACCTGGAAATGCTGGAAGTCATCGTCAAGTTAGATCCCTGGCATCTGTTGCTCTGAGAATGGGACATTCTTTGCATTCCTCTAACCATTTTAATTTTTTCACAATAAATTTTAATGAAGTAAATCTATATTTATTCATTGCTTTATTTTTAACCTCTTTAAGAAGCTGCTACTATACAAACTGATAGGTCAATATGTGTCAACTCAATCAAATAAAAAAAAGATACTGCATCTCAGATTATCATAAAAATTTTATAAATCACTTTTTTTTTTCGTAAATTCAGGTCTCAGTTTTTAAAGTAGTATTTTTTTTTTCAAGAAAAATTCTCTTCTTGGCAAAACTTTAAAATGACAATTATTGCAATTCTGTGGGACTATAAAAAATTTAAAACTTAATAACACAAAATTTTTTGAACATTAATTTGACGTGCAACATGATTATTTTCCTTAAATTCTAACTATGAGTGTTTTCACGTTTCGGATAAAAGAATAGGTTATAGGAAAAAAAGCTAATTTTTTTTATCTATTCCTGTAAAGTTCTATTAAAAGTTATTCTTTATTCTTCATTAAAGAGGTCTAAGTTAGGAATCTTTTCTTCAGTTAGGGATCTTTTTCTTCAGAATTTCGTAAACTTTGATAAAATATTAAAATTTTTTTTTTTTTCGAAAGCAAATAATGAAATGAAAATGGACTTAGTCTCAGTTTTATTAACAAATACCTTCATCTGTGTCAAAACACAAAATAATAGGAGAAAGCTGGAAAACGAATATGTCAAAAGAAAAAAAGTCATTTAATCAAAAAAGTATCTTATTGTTTAAATCACTTTTTATCTTACTGCAACTTGTTCATCTTATTAATTTCTCCTGTCATTTTGTCTTTTACGAAAAGTCCTTATTTATAGAACCAAAGATATAGTGTATCCATTTTTGAACCTTTATTTGTGTTTAATTCTTAGTAGCATATGTATACCTTTTTTAAAAAGTGGTTATTTTCATTTTTTGAAAGCCCTTAAAGGTGCTTTTTTCATTGGGTGTTTTTAAAAAGTGCTCAATTTTCCCTTTGTCAGTCCGTAGCATATGAAAACGCCATTCGTTTTATATGATTCAAAATTTCAATAAAATGATTAAAAAACAATGCAAAAAGGTTTTGTTTTTTTGACATGGCGGTTAAAACAAGATAAAACCATAAATTGTCAAAAGCTTTCCTACCCTGCTTGATTATGATATTTTTTTAAAGTGCTTGAAAATATTTTTTGAGTGCTTAAAAGGTGCTTATTTTTTGTTGAGTAATTTGGCTACGCACCCTGATACCTTATCCTTGATATTACTCAAATTAGTTCCAATACATTAAGTCCTACAATGTCAGAGCTTTTTTTTTCTACTAATATTATTCTTACTCACTTTATCAAGCATATGTTGAATTTCGGGAATTAAATGTATGTCATTATTAAAAATAATTTTATTTCAGGAAATATCTGGGCTTTACGGTGGAACTTTAATGGAACAAACATGTAAGTAAACAATATGAAATTAAGAATCCAATTAAAATCAAATTATTCTATTTTAACATACACTATATATATTTTAAAATCGATAATGTTGATACTAAACATATTCATATAAATTTCATCAGAATTATCATCTTTCCAAGATTTCAAATCCTTTTTTGTTTCAGCAAAATAACAATCTTATAAATTTTTAATATTCAATCGTTATAAAACACTTAATTTCATTTTAAGTTACTACTAGGACTGGGCGATGTTTAAGATTTGAGCATCGTAATGCATCGCCAATCAAACATTGTGATGTTTCGATACATTGCAATGTTAAATTACTGTATTCACATTTGGTTTTGTATCAGATTATTGTAGAGTGCAAAAAATAAAGGACTTTGAATAACTTTTAACATAATAATCGGATTTAAGGAAGTCTGATTTTTTTTTAAATTTATTTTTCAGAAACTATTCTACCAATTTACAATTCAAGCATTTTTCGACTATTCATAACAAAAAAGTAAAAAAAAAAATTATTGAAAATCATTTTGCATGAAATTATCTTTGGATAAACGGATTTTATAATTGCGGGCTAAAATGTTTCAATTCGCGTAAAAAGTTCTTGTGATGTGGGGGAAATACGCAAAAAATAGCATTACCATTAAGAGGTCCTGACTTTCGATCGCTCTCCTGACCAAATTATTAAGACTGTATTCCTTAGATTGTGGCGATGCCCTATATTTTAAGGGTCAGGAATCATAATCCGTCAAAAAATGTATTCAGATAAGTACGTTTTTGTACCTCACTTCGTAATTTAAAGTATTCGCTCCTTTAACTAATTAGTAAATATGAAATCTCCCCCTCAAACCGCTAAGATTAAGTCCTAATATGTAAAAATCCTATTATTAGATCAAAAGTTATTCTGGGTGGTTAGAAAAATGCTGAACATCACAAAACAACCTGAGGGTGTGGGAGGCCAGCCGCAAAGTATGTCGACCATTTGTGAAATTGATACAGCTATAAAAATGAAATAAAATTTAAAAGGTGCATTGACCCAATAATTATAAAAGTATTTATAAACAGAAAAATAAAAATTTAATAGAAAAGATAAAGAAAAAATTTCATGTATTGAGAAAGACAGAAAACAGCCGATGTGTGAAACCTCCATGCTTTTTATTCTCCAAAATTTTTATTTACTGCCTTCAATATTTTTGAGGAAGTGGAGAAAAATTAGTATAAAAACAAAATTTCCTGGAAAAAGATAAGATGGAAATTAATTATTATGGCTTCAGTATTGTAAAAATCAATTTATTTAAAAAAAATTTTTTATAGCTATTGCTAACCTAATATATTATTATGTTGCTAAACTATGTTTTGTGAAAATAAAATTTAACTGCATACTTATTTAAAAATCTTTATAAATAAAGAATGATTTGAGAAGGATTGAATAGCAATCAAACCGGAAAAAAATGCATAAGAAAGAAAAACTAATAAAAAACGAAACGACTGTCTTGAAAAGAAAATTCCCATTTTATAAGTTGTCAATATAAAAACTTGTTTGCCAAAATTTTTTGTAAAAATATTAGATTTTTTATATTTTCTAACTATAATAATTATCATTTTTCAATGATTGAAAGCGTGTTCTTTATGAAAAATTTCAGCTTAATACAAAATTACGTATGGAAAAATGTTATCCATATTGAAGGAATGCGATTCTTCGGATTTAACTAAGAAAAGTTTAATTAAGTAGGTAAAATATATAAAGAAAGGAACTTAATGGAACAGATATCCATCATAAATGATCTTTTCTTCAACAAGACAAAAATAATCTTGAACTATTATCAAGTAGCAAAACATCAATCATCCACAGAGAATCCCTTACTTTTAGTGGATTTGCACAATTTGAAGAAAGCACTTTTCCGTTCTTTGGTGATGAGTTACTTTTACTCCTAGTTTCATCGGGTCTACACGTCATTGCTTGATGATTCGCGAAGGAAGAAATACACGAGGAAAGATCGTCATGGCAATCGCTGCCTGCTCGAGATTGAAGGGAAATGCTCTTTGTGTGTGCTTGTGAACATCAATGTTGAATCAGGAGAATCGCTCTACAATGCATCAGTAATCATCGTACTCATCGAGGGTACATCAGAATTTCCAATGCTTTGAAAGAGACCCCAGCTTGAACATCGGAACAGCGATGATTGCACAACAGCGATGTTTTCCGATGTACCGCCCAGTCCTAGTTACTACATTTTAAGTTTAAAGCATGTTGTAGAATTTTTTCCCTTATATTTTTCTTTACTCTACTAATTGTCTAATTATCATCAATACTAATACAATATCATCAATACATCTCTACTAATTGTCATCAATATTTTTATTTATTATTATTATTATCATTAGTATATTATTATTATCATTAATATATTATGATGATGTAGTTTTGTATCAATAGTACTCTCCAGTTATAAATAATAAACACATATTAGAAATTTTCATTTTTAAAATTATCGTAATTTTAAAGGGAATAAGTGTCTTTAATTTAGTGTTATGCTTTTACAATTATATGCTAATTTCATTTAAATAAAATGTTTCAATTTTTAGATTTTGTGAATGAGTGCATTAACCACATTCTCAACATGTACCCAACAAATAAAAAAATAATTCTGATTGGTCACTCAATGGTATGATCTTTGATTTTTGTTTTTTGAATGAAATTCATTGCTATGTTTATTGATGATACATGTTTTGAATTTTATCCTTCAATTTTCATTGAGCTAATAGATACCACAAACCAGTTTCTTCTATTTAAAAGAGAAACACTGCTTACCAACGAAATTATTGCACAAATTTTCCATTAACATTTTAAGAGTTAAAAAAAAAACTGTTGTGAATTTAAATGCCGGCCCGAATGTGATAAATGCTGATTGTTGCTGGAGCATTTATCATATTTCTTGTCAGTGCAACCTTGGCTACACCAGGAAAACTAAACGCTCTTTAAATTTGAACCTAATGAAACACAATTGGTGTCTCGGTTATCTCGAGATATCTTCAATCTCTTCACATTGTTGGAATCTTAGGTTCAATTTTAATAATACTAAAATTATTTCCACACCAGTCATATCAGCTCATCTTGATACCCTGGAATTTTGTTTCATTCATTTCATCCCTTCTTAAAGACATTAGTTCCTCCACACTTCTTCATAACGCTTAGAAAGGCATTTTCCCTTTTGGTCGCTGTTCTGTTTCTCACCTTTTTTCTCTCTTAGCTTCTGTGGATTTTCTAGTTTTTGTTTCTTACCTTTATTTATTTTATTTTTCGTTGACTTTATGTCAACTTTACGTTTTTCTCATACCACATTTGTTTCATTATATTCATGTCTGTAAAGTCTTGAAAATGGAAGCCTATGTTTGATGTGCTTGAAATATGTCATTTCATTTACGTATATTTCTAAAGCAATCAATTTTCAAGAAGTTTTCAATCGGATAATATCTCACTGCTTCAGTTTCTTAGGATTATTTATTTAATAATTAATTCTTTTTATTCTATAGACATAGTATTATTCATGATATGCCAGTAAGAAATATTTTATATCCCATTTCATTTATTTTAGCCATTTTATGGCAAATTTATTAAGTTGATAAAAGATAACACAAGTTTTTTCTTTTCTTTTTTCTTTTTTTTTGTTCACTTAGAAATATAATGGTTTCTAAGTTATAAAGATAGTTTCTTTTATTTTATTTATGTGAACCTATACTTGGGGGGAAAAATACTTTTTCAAAAACTTTATTACTTGCAATAACTATTCTTAAAAATTATATTATTTTTAACTTATATTATAGTTTTCAAATTAGAATTTTACGTTGCAAACATATATCAGATCACATGTATACATTGATTGTTTTTGTTCTTTTGTGTATGATATGTTTTGCGGCACTGATTGCATTTCTTGTGAAGTATTGAACAAAAAATACTTCTAGGACAAATTTTATTTTTTATTTTTCTCTCTTTTTTTTTCCTTTTTTTTGCTTTATTACATTGAAAATTTTGAAATATGAGTTTTTATGAGTGAGACAAAGTAGCTCACTTAATTCAATTAGTTTCTTCCAAAACTAAATATATATTAACGAAACTTTTTATCAAATTTTAAATTTCAGGGTTGGTTTGTTTAAAGTTGTCCAATGGAATTCTCAATTATATTAATATACCTTTATTTTTATTGTAGATTTTATTATTTTAAGTAGGTGTTGACATTGCTTAACCGAATTTTACTTTTAAAAATAGCTATTGTTAAACTCTCTAATCGAGATAATATTAAGAGATTTTTGAAAGACAAAACGATTACTATATTTACAATATAATGACTGTTTTTTATGTAATACATCTTTGCTTCACCTGTATCTTAAATTATTATTATGTACTTACATCTTTGCTTCACCTGTATGTTAAATACATCTTGTTAAATGTAAATGTAGAGGATTCTCCTTGGAACCTGCAAAATTATTATTTTTCAGGGTGGTGTTCTTTCCGAAGCTATATTTTCTCTTCCTTCATTTGATTCATCTATTATTTCATTAATCATCACTTTAGCAGCACCTCTTAAAGCACCTGGTATGTTATTACATTACTCTGTGCTTTTTACTTGTTTTATTAATTATTTATTTAATGAACAGGGGAAAATATAATTCATTGTAACTTATTATGCTCCCAAATTTCAATGATCAAATAATATTTATCATATTTTTTATTATCTTGACCACATTGGGTTTGAGTTTAAAATGCATAAGATTTCTAATTAATTTAATAAGTAATAAACCAAATATATCATACTTGAGTGTGACTAAAATTCTGAATTTATCATACTTGAGTGTGACTAAAATTTTGAATTTCAATCAAATTCTACTTTGCCAATTTGTATTAGCAGACCAATTCTCTTATTTATTTAAAAAAAATTTCATTTATTATATATTTGCCTCCCATTAAAATTATTTTAAAACTTCTCAACTTTCTGTGGTTTAGGCCAGTTAAAGCAATTTATGCCAATTGTTTTGTTTTAGCCTTCAGATTATGTAGTTAAGCAATTAAAAATATTAGAATGATGAATTTTTCAAGATGGAATTAGATAATTTGTCATTTTGAATCTTGTTGTCCAAATTTCAATTAAAAGAAAAATCAAATATTTCTGATTCAACATCAAAATAATTATAATGTGATTTGTAATACGAAAGTTTACTAGATCAATTTGTACTCATCTGCATCCGTGTACATAATATAAATGTCTTTTGAGAGATTTCAAACTATAGAAAAGAAAGACTTTTAAAGCACATTATTAGATGTACTACATGATATCCATCCTAATAAATAGGAATCAGCTATCCATCCAGTATCTTGTTGCAACATCACCTAGAAGAGCCATATAAAACCTAGATACAAAAGGTTCTAAGTTAAAACATTTTGAAAGTTCTTATAATAGATTTTCAAAAAATGTATTCAGCCATAAATTTAAAACTAAAATAACTTTTCCAATAATACAAAAATTGTTTGAAAATTAGTGACATAAGGAAACTACCCTTTTTTCTTAGGTAAACATGTGAGAGAATTCCTTTTCTGCCTTATGAGGATCCCTAGATGCTGTTTAAAATTCTCAAGACCATGCGCTCTATGATAGTTGTATTTACAGATTTTTTTTCTGTTCCATTTTTTACTTATTTATATTTTTAGTCATTTTTGTTTTAACTTTAATATAATTACAGTTCTTATCTTTCATTAATATGCTAATTCTCTGTTGTAAAAATTACATGGTATCACTCCCACTAACGAGTTAATCAATTCAGATTTACATTATCTGTCTTTCTAGCCTGATTGTTTTTAGATTCACTCTAGTTTTATCACTACCTAATTATATACATTGTTTTTATGCATAGCAATTACACTCAATTAGAAGAGAAGGTAATTTTACAAAAAAATTCACAAGTGTGGTTTTTATCATACTTAAGCTTAGTAATTTTTGTTTATGGTGATTGTATTGGATACCAGAATTTTACAAAATAATTCGTATTTGATTTTTGACTCTATAATTTAAGCCCCTTCTTATCACTGTTTAAATGTGCATTGTTTTTCTTGGTAAAGATAGTCACTGATTAGAATAGTTCAAATTTTATTAAATAGTTTTTTTAAGTTATTCATGAAACTTAGAATTATTCATTACTAGAAATTAAATTATTCATGATACACTGCTTAAAAGTTAGTTTTTGTTGATAGTGATTGTACTTGATCAAAAAATAACTGAATTTCACAAAATAGTTTGTAATTAGTTTTTGTCACTATAATTTAAGCTTGATTCTAATATATGTTGTCTATTATCTAAATATATGTTGTTTCTGTTTATAGTGATTGTGCTTGATGAAAAAACAGCAGAATTTTATAAAATGATTCATGAAGCATGGAAATATAGATTAAGGAGTTCACTCATGAATGTCCCTTTAGTGTCCATTGGAGGTGGGGACAGAGATATCCTTGTAAGAAGTGACCTAACATTTAATGAATTTAAGCACAAAAGTATATTGGATGTTACTGCTATGGTGAGTACATCTAGTGTTTGTTTTTATAAACTGTAAAATCATAAATTATTTACGACAGCTGTAATGAGCAATATTTTGAAAAACAACTAAAAAAATATCATTATTCCAAATCAAAATAAACTTTATTTTTATTTGAAGTTAATTAAGAATTACTGATAATATAAATTCTTTGCATCTGTGTCTTTTTTTAAAAGCATGCTTCAAAGTAAAGTATGATGAAAATTTATGAAGGCACCAGGGTGCTCCCTCCCTCGTCAAAAGTGGCCAATCCACATAGACATTACAGACATAAAAGTTTTTCAAATTAAAGGTTATTCTCTGTGACGAGTATTGCCTCAAATTTTTGAGGGAGTTTCAGTCCTGCTCACTAATTCTAAAAAAGCTAAGAAAAATCTATTTTCTATGATTTTAATTAAAAAATTTGAAGGAAAATTGTGTTTTCAGTCAAGGTATTACGTCATAAACATTATTTAAATTATAATTATTTTTTTAAAAAAATTGCACTGATTTGGAAAAGCAAGAAATAAGTTTTTTTTTTTTTAAAGCTACTTTAAAAAGTAGTTAACAGAGCTGAAACCTTTTCTATTTACTGCAATTCAATTCTAGTTCTCACAATACTGTCAGCAAATAAAAGTTTGCCTGTGAGTTCTTCATTAGATTTATTCTATCATTTGGGCCTTAGAACTGGTGATACAATTAAAAACACTGGCATGCTTTACAATAGAATCATTTTTGTGTAATTCTTTGCTTCAAATTTAAGATGTGGAATGATACTATATTGAATGGAATGTTCGAAATCATCTATGAACAACATGTTAGAAATCATCCATCCTTACAAGGTCATTTTGAAGCAATGTGAAATACGCCTTTCAAACATCTTTGGCAAGCTTTTCAAAATTTGTTATTAAAATCCCAATTTGTGAAAAACTTACCTGAATTTTGCTATTTATGTAAGTTAAGTGATCCTACACGGTTCGGGATAGTTGAGGATCTCTAGGTGAGTTTTGAATTGCTTGGATCGAATCACTGATCAAATGAGTAAAAAATTCAATTTCCATTCCAGTTCAACTTCCTGGGCAGTCATAACAGCTCTCTTAACGGTATTTAACTTGCATTTTTAGAATTAAAAGTCAGTTTTTAATAGGCAAGTGGTACTTTTTAACTCAAAAATTTCAAGGCAACACTTCTCACTGAAGATACTATTAAATTAGAAAAAAAAAAAGAAAAAAATTCTGTAATTCCCATGTTGATTGACCACTTTTGACGAGTATTGTATTTTGCTTTGCAAAATGAAACTTCTTAGTAAAGCACTTTACTTACAGGGCGTTTGGGCACGACATTCTTCTTTGGATTCCCTTTTTATATATACATTTTTTTCATTTTCCTAGGATGTTGAAAAAGTATCACTTTTCCAAAACTTTTCTGTCATATACCTTTATTTATATATGTATATATATACAGTAGAGCGCCGATTATCCGAACTGCTCGGGACCGAACGTGTTTCGGATAATGAAAAGTTCGGATAATTGGAAAGTTGTTTAAAATCTAGTTTAAATTATTATTATTTATGCACTAACTTCCCTTCACACTTTTTCTAGGCTTAGGACTGGCAGAGTACTATCTAATATAGCTCTGGTGTGTTTAAAAGTTTCTTTTTTCAATTTTTAAATGCTTTTTATTTTATTTTTTTAAACTTTTTTTTTTCATTTTAAATTATTTTTATCATACTTCAGCTTTTTATAAAAATTTTTTTTATCAATTACTGATTTTTTTTTAATTTTCCATTGCAAAAGAAATCCAGCAAAGACTTTTGTTTCAAAGAAGATGCTCTTTTTTGAGCAGCCATATTCCTTATTCTTTTTAAATAAATCAACTGAACTGGATCAACATCATTTTGACGTTTTAGCCAATTAATTGCAATATTTAATGAATTGCATGCTTCTATGTGAGAAGGTCCACTATCTTGAAATTGATCACCTACTTCTTTCTCTTTGTCTGTGGAGTTCCGATTTTCATTCAAATTTTCAGCATCAATTTCATCATCATTTAAAATTTGAATTTCTGGGTCGTTTTCAGTGTCTCCACACCAGTCTTCTATTTCTTCTGCTGTATAACCTGGCATCTTTTCATCGGCTAGATCTACTGGTTCAGAAGCTTCTGTTTCGTTTATTTATTTGTTAAGAATTTTATTCCAAGATTTAAGATTCCAAGCACTGTAATCACTAATCATTAACAATAAGTGACAAGTACCCATCCCCCAATAGTAGAACTTCAGCACATATCTATTCATAAACTCCTTCCTCTTTTCAACCATTGTAGACTGTCAAATTGAAACTCGCATTCTTGATTCAGATAGTTTTCAGTGGAAGAGGGCGAAAGGGGTATGTAGGTTTAACTGAATAACAATGTATTGGCTACTATAAGAAAACTGCTAAAAAAGGTTGTAAATTAAATATGGTCTTAAGATGTAGTGGATATTATTAATTCTTCTAAATTTAGAAAAATTGTCGATAAGTTGAAAATTATTCTAAACTTTACATAGAAAAAATAGAAGCGAATTCGGACATGGTTCGGATAATTGGACATTCGGATAATAAGGGTTCGGATAATCGGCGCTCTGCTGTATATATATATATAGCATAATAAATAAATACGAAAAACACGAAGAAAATTAAGAAAAACAATAGGTTTTATTTATTGCGCATAAGCTGCAAGTAAATAGAACTCGTAAAATAAGTTCAAAAAGTAGAGAAAACAAGGGAAAAATTACAGAAATTTGAGTGCTCCTCACGCTATTGTGTGGGTATATTTTGCTTTGACTATGTTAATACAATATTAGAAAGCACTCTTTTTTGTGGATATAATCGTGTGAGCTGCTAAAAAGATTATATCTTTTATTTTCCGGATTTTTAAAAATTTTTATCCTTTTTTTCGGGTTGCGTTTTTTTTTTCCTTCTGGTTTTTTGTAACTCTTATTTTTATTTATTTCCCCTTCTTTCATTGTACTGTAATTTTTCCCTTGTTTTCTCTACTTTTTGAGCTTATATATATATTTATACTTATATATATTATATATATATATAAATCANAGTAAAAAGTTGATTAGTCTCTTTCATGGGGAAAACATTGTTTTGCATGCATTCCATTGCTACCACTATCGATGAATGCAAAACTTTGACTTAATTCTATGATGAACTTTTTGATACGAGTGACGTTAATCTATTTGAACAGAATATTTTATCATATCGAACAGAAAAGTTTGTGAAGAAAATGATCTTTAAATGAAATGTATAAAATTTAAGTGAAATTAATTAACCGTTTTTTAAAAGTAAAAAATGGAAACTGAACCCAACTTAATACTAAGATTCAATGAAATTGCAAAAGTCGATTGAAACAAGATTTATCATCCGAATAAAATTAATATTTAAATGGATTGTTTGTTATATACATTCCTATTTCAGCATTTCTATCGTAATAGCATAATATATTAATCAATATCATAATAAATCAGAGAACATATTTTTTAAAAATAAATCTTATTATAGGTGCTCAGAAGATATTGAAACATAAATATACCAAGTTTTTCTTCAGTAGCTTCTAGTTTCTCCCAGCGGCTCGGAACATGGTCCTAAAAATTAATTTTAAGAACTAAAAAACACTTAAAATAATTTGGACAACATGAATACAAAAATATTCTAGCCATTTACCATTAGGGAGTTTGTATCATTCTCGGCATCAGAGTCATTCTTATTGTCATCTGTTGCACTTAAATCACCTTCTTCTACTTCCATTTCTACCTATAATACCAAAATGAGAGGTGTAAAGAACAATATTTGGCTGAATACCAAAAAACGTCCAATTCGGTTTTAGCGAAATCCGAAATTGCAATGTAACGAATATTTTTCGAATGACCAAATGAATCCTTATAGAAACAATGGATTAAAAGTGTTGATATTACAAAATTCGTAATCCTATTTAATGAAAGTGAAAATAAGCAACAATTCTCATTTTTGCTCGTGATCCAAAACATTTTCTCACTCTTCAAAAGTATAGAATGATCTCAGAATTCAAATATATTTTGCGTTTTTACAATAAAAAGTTTCAGATAGGAAACGGACATGTCAAAAGGACGTTGTTGTTAATTTACGTCGCACTACAGCTGCACAATGGGCTTATATCTTTTTTTCCCTGGTTTTTAAAAAAAAATTTAATATTTTTTTTTTTTATATAAACTGTCGTTTGTTATTTTTTTACTTATTATTTCCCCCTTTTTTTTTCATTTGTGTATTATTTTTCTTTGTTTTATTCTTCATTTTGAACATATATATATATATATATATATACACAGTGAAACCCCGATTTTACGTTTTCTGTCGGACTAGCGATAAAAAACGCTCGAAGCAGAATAACGTAAAATCAAGGTTAAGAAAAATCTCTGCATATTTTTAAAAATTGACACCTACCTGTTAAATTAATGGAAAAAATGAGTAATCTTTACTTGCTTTTCGTTTCTAGCTACAATTTCGTATACAGCTCGTTCAATACTAAAAAATTTTTTAGAGTTTTTATGCTTTGTATCGCTTGATCAGCTGTTGGCATATCTTCTGTTATTTCATCTTCATCATCATCAGCACTATCGTCGGAATCGGACATTAAATCACTTATGAAAGGGGTTTCTGAAGTAATGATATCTGTGTCACAGTCGATGTATGCATCATCGACTTCCAGAAGGTCCTCAACTTCAGACAGGCTACCTTCTTCTTCTTCCAAAACAACAGCGCTCTCCTCCTCCGATATTGAAAATCCTGCTTTATTGAATCCATTGATAATGCACTTTCGGTCGACACTGACCCAAGCTGATGATAATTTTTCACAAACTAATTTTTGTAAAGTTATGAGTTTTGTCCATTGAACTGAGGTTTCTGTTGTCAGTTTTTGTAAGTCTTTCATAGTTTTATTAATAGTTTGTGTTTATGAAGTGCTTTAACCTTATTTATTTAACACTTAATTATGTTATTGACATTACATTGTTTAAGACAATCTGGACATTTTTTTCTCATGATATATTCTGATCTGTTAATCTAATATTCATATAATATATCAATCCTACTGTTATCAAAACTCTTAAATAACTTGCTACAAATCATTATTATCATTTACTCAAATTAATGCATTTATCTGTGTGATGAAGCATTAAAACATGAAATATTTTTTGTTTATAACTTTTTTACTGGTCACAAAATAATCTTATTACTTGCTTTTGAAACATATTCTTCTGTTTTATTTTTTTACTTCATGTATTTCTCCTCCTTAACTTTTTTTTTCTATCTTATAACTGGATTATGTCTTTTATACAAAGAAATGCATTGTATAATATTAAAATAAAGCTCTAATATGAGTTAATTATTTATCATACTTTTCTCAAATTATATAAGTCTTTATCACTGGAAATCACTTCAAACTAAGCAAACCCATGTCCCTGGAAAATTCAAACAATGGTAGTAAAGTTTCTTAAGTTTCACTTTTTTTCCCAATGTAATATTTTGAGAACAGAGATTCTCTTATATAATACATTTGGATTCAAACTATCTGCCTAGGTTATGTCCAGTGTTATCCAGAAAATACCTTTTTGGGAGTATTTTCACTCTATTCATTTTTGAAAGGTGAAAGTTCAAAATAGAACCATTTTACTACATATCTGAGTGAGATATCTTAGGGCAGGGGTGGCGAACTTTTATACACCAACGTGCCATTTTCTCTAAAAAATTGCTTAATGAGGTCATAGACGTGCCGTCAAATAATTTTGACTTCGTGATAATTGGGAAAATAATAATACTAAATACTATCAACTCAGAACTCTTTATTTACATTGAAAAAAAAATACATTTTGCAATGTCTCAGTTATACAAGTAATTCAACTTAAAGTAACATGTGACTTGTTGCAGATTAGATGACCAATAACTTATATTAGGTTCTAAGATGTTAGTTTAAGCAGGACTGTTGATTTTTTTTGCTAGTTATTTGCTGTCAGCTTGTTTTTACGGTTATTAATTGTTTTTAGCATTAATTTTTAATTTTTTTATTAATAATTGTTTAATATTTCGTTTGTTTTTTGTGAATTTTAATTTAATTGTTACATATGCTTCATAGCGTAATAACATTTGTGTAATAACAATTCATAGTGTAACAATAATTGTGATCGGTGGAGTACCCAAAATATTGTGTCGCGTGCCATAAATGGCACGTGTGCCATTTGTTCGCCATCCCTGTCTTAGGGGTAAGAGAGCACAGCAAGGGAAAAATGTGAAATGTGTGTCCCGGTAAAATTTTTGCAAAGTGAAACTTGATATGATAAATGGAACTAACTAAAAAAAATAAATAACTATACGAAGTAAACATTTTATTAATTGCTGATTGAGTCTTTTACCAAAACCATTATCCCTAATTTTTTTATTAATAAGGCAATATTAGATCAATGTTAAAAAAAAATTATATATATTTTATTAAATATATTTATCTTAGTTCTATATGCATTTTTCTCCAATTTTTCTAATTGTTCAAAGGTCATGTCACATTATTGACACCTCTATTTGGTGATATTAAAAGTCCTCCAAATGCTCATCTCCAAGTAGAGTTCACTTTTTTGATTTGCAAAATATCCTTTTTGGCTGTTGTAAAGCAGTAACAGTTAATTTCTCAGAATGAATGAAAGTAGTTTCTTCATACTCTCATTTTTATCATCTTTATGCAAATAAAAGAGCACAGAAATAAAGAAAAAATAAGAGAGCACAGCAAGGGAAAAATGTGAAATGTGTGTCCCGGTAAAATTTTTGCAAAGTGAAACTTGATATGATAAATGGAATTTACATAGAGGTGCACTCTGGATAAGAAGCACTTTCCTCCTGTATATTTATACATGTTAAACGTTTTAAGATAAATGTATCAATGACAAATGTAAGATAAATGCAAAAATACTCAATGTTTGCTACACAAATGTTAGGAAATAGGACTAGAAAGAATCAAAATTTACTGATAACAGCTTTAGCGATCCTCATTTTTTACTAGATTAAATAGAGGATATTCCTGTCAGGCTCAAACTTTTCAGCCATAAAGCTTTTCCGCTGATATTGATCTAAGGTTTGGGTACCTTTAAACCTTTGGTTGATGTGCAGACGTTCTTGAATGCTCTTTTAGAAACTTTACTTTTTAGTTTCACTGAGCTTACTCTTTCAGCTTACAATTTTCAACCAGTTATGTTTTTATTTAATATTTGTTTAACCTTACTGAATAATTTGAGGAGAAAAATTGTATTTTATACTTGAAAGTTTTAGAGTTTTATTTTGAAGCTTTTTAACTAATTTTAGATTCAACCTATACATAAGTTCTTGCTGCATGCAATTTTCTTTGATAGTGCTTATTTCTCAATTCTATTTGTAATATGAACTTTTAATTTTCAGACCAATTCTATACCAGGTGTTTGGGTTTCTGCAGATCATTTAGCTATTACTTGGTACACACAATTTATTCATTCATTTATTGTAATTTTTCATGTAATAATTTTAATTATAAATTTTGTTTTCAAATGATGTAATTGTTAACTTGAAGTAATTTTAAAAACTTCGGTTAAAAATGTTGGGTTTTAAGATTATTTTTTCAATTACCCAAAAATTAATAAATCGTTTTTTTTTTTTTTTTTTTTTTTTTTTTTTTTTTTTTTTTTTAAGAAACTTAGAAAAATTAAGCACAAATTCAGTTATAATTTTGAAGTAAACCAATTTTTTGGTTAATATTTTTTTCTTTGTTACAATGTCTTTCTAACTGTCATGTTAAGTCATTTCAAAAGTTAAACTCTCAATATTACATTGGATATAATTATTTTTTTAATTAAACATTTCTTTATTATTAAGTGTCTTATGTTCTTACTGCTTCAGAAAATTTCATGATTTTAAAATGTCACAAAATTTAAAGTAATAAATGAAGGAATTTACTTCTTAAGAATTAAAATGTAAATTGCCATTTTTGAATAATTAATTGCACTAAAATAAAGTTTTGTACTTTTTTTGTTAACCAGGTACTAAGAAATAAATTAAACATTTTTTTTAGCTTTATTTATTTATTTTAAGGGAAAGAATTATTTATTTTGTTTTCTGTTGAAAAACAAAGAGAGAATGAATTTATCTGTTTGCACCTAACTAACAGATAACTATTTTTTTAATGTATAAATAGTTTGCTTTTTGTAAATGCACTCTTTCTGTTTTTTAATTTTAATATCAGTTTTTTAATTAACAATATGTTAATTTCTATTATACGGCATGTTTAATCTTCTATTGGTTACTTTTTTAATAATTCAGTTTAATGTATGGGATGCCCTAAAAAGATCTAAAAATATATATTGCGAATCTAAAACTTTTTTCGCAATCAAAGTTTGATTTAAATGATGAAATAAAAAATAGTGGTATTACACTGTACAACATATTTAAACACTTTCTGCACTTTAGAAGAAACTAAGGTTCTGCATAAACAAAAGGTGCTTGGTTCATATATGATCCATCGCAAACTAATATTTCGCTTCCTAAGGCATCTAGAGCCTTGAAACTTCTGGAAGGTAGATAAGGCTTTATCTACCAACTTCACGAAAATATTCCCAAAGTTGGTTGCTTTTCCTCTGTCAAGGAGAGTTTTTTTTTTTCTTTCTTTCTGTTCTTTTCTAGAAACCTGCATGTGTATTAAAAGTTTTCTCATTGATTTCCTTTCTTTGTGAAATGTATTTATATTTTTAAGAAAAATGTATATTTCAATCAAAATCAAATAGGTGATACTAAAAATGTAGTGGCAAAATTAGATTTGTATTAATAAATTTATGAAATAAATGAATTCCCTGACATGAATGGATTTTGATTTCAAATTACGAAATAAATTGACATTGAAATGGTTGTCCATTTTGTTGTCTAATTCAAACTTTTAAACGAAAGAGTTTTATTCGGGCAGTTTGATTAACTTAATAAAAAGGTGTTTTTGTCTTTATTTTTTCTAAAAAAAGAGATGATTAATTTTGTTTTATTTAGTTTCGTCAGATTTTGGTACTTGCAAGATTCAAAGTTTTGAATTTTTATATGAATTCAGGCACATTTGCCCTTTAGAAATTAGAGTTCAACTAATAATCCTCAGCTAATGCCCATAAGATTTTCTCCTATCTTGGAGACTTCTAACAGATTCAGAAGTGCACCCCCTTTACAAAAATGAACAAAAAGTGCTCTTAAGGAGATATTAACATTTTTGGATGCTGACTATTATTCTTTGTACACTAGACAAAGTATACTGTGTCTAGGTTATCAGCAACCAGGAAATCAAATAAAAACAGCTCAATAATGTCTAATACCAGTCCTTTTATACCTGCATTATTTAAATTATATTTCTATGAAGAAAAAGGTAGTTCTTTATTTGAAGTTTCTGCTTTAATTGAGTTCTTCTCTGATAGTTTCTATTGATTTCTGTCTAACAGGTGTAAGCAGCTGATACTAACTATTTGCCGTAGTCTATTTGATTTAATTGACCCACAAACTAATCAAGTAGGTAAATCTTTCATATTTTGTTATTAATATTTGTGTTGATATTTGTATTAATCATTTGTTGGTATATAATATTTGAACTAGAGTACAAAATAGGTTATTTTGCATAGAATGTCATGACTAAATATCTCCATCTGCCGGGCGTGTTGCCTGAAAAGAAGAAATGGACACCTTAATTTACATGACATTGATACCAACAATTTAATATAAAAATAAGTGTAAGATAATTACCTACACATGACGTACATTGACTTACTCATGACGCTTAGCTACTCAACAGGTTAGAAAAGAAAAGAGCGAGAAGCAAACTCCTTAATTTGCATGACACTGATATCAACAGTTTAATATAAAGATAAATGTATGATAATTACTTACTCTGTACGTACATTGCATACTAATTACTTACAATGTACATTGTATCTGCTCTGCCCCCTGGCAAATAACTGCATAACTATCGAAAGGGGTATGAGGTTCATTTTAAAAGTAAAAACCGATTGGGCATCGTGTCAGCGCATCCTGCCAAGTGAGGTACCTAAAGATTGGCAAGTCTCTCATTATGCTGCCATTACATTTGATGTTTTTGCTAGAGTTGGTTGTATTGTTATACTGCTTCATTTGTCACCATGTCGATCAATAATCCCGCTAATTGTGAAATGGCTTTCAGTTCTTAAATGGAAGAAAAAAAAGTTTGTCCTGTTGAAATCCACTGGCAGCTTGTTGAAGTTTAAGGGGAAAGTGTAAAAATTGTGAAAATGTGCCTAAATAGTGTAGACTTTTTAATGTAGGAAGAACAAATGTTCATAATAAAAAACGATCTCGACTTCCTGTCATGAATGGGTAGTACTGAATCATTCCCCATACAGCCTTGACTTAGCGCCATCAAACTTTTATCTGTTTCCAAAACTTAAGAAATTTCTTGGTGGAAAGCACTTGGAAAATGATTAAAGGAACTGTTACTTACTGGTATAACGGTCAGAATTCTTTAAAGATCTAAAAGCTGCTGCCCAATTTGACATATGTTTCAATGTTGACGGTGACTATGCTGAAAAGTGAATAAATGTAAAGTAAACATAATGCAATTTACTTTCATAAATAAAGTTTCTTTTACTCCATTACAAAATGGTTCTTACTTAAAAAATGACCCTCAATGATGAACAAAGACCTCTGAAATAAACATAGCCCTCAATTTTGACAAGTAACATTAGTCAATCAATGCATTTGAATTTTTCCAATATTCAGAATGTTACACAACATCTGTTACATAAGCTCTATATCATTTTTCACGTGATGAAAATAAGTAATTTTTGAACTCAATCAAAGGACCTATTTTAATTGTAAGCAATTATGTTATTTTCAAGTTATTTTATTGTGAAAATTTCAATGTAAGTACCATACTTTAAAGGAAAGCAGCTTTAATTTTCACTGTTAAATATCAAATTTATCTTTTCCACCCAACTGATTTTTTACAAATTAAAACAAGTCAAATTTTAATTATTTATCATTCTAATCCTCATTCAATGTCTGATTTTATTAAAAGTGTTGCAATCAGATTGATATTTTTCAAAATATAATTGTTTCGATTTATATATGGAGCTGATTTTTTATGTAAATATAATTTTAAAAAATTCTGTATGCTGTTAGATTACCAGCAAGCCAGATGTTATTGAGAAAGTGCTGAAATATCATTATGTTCGCCGACCCTCTGGTAAACATTATTCGAGACTACCTTCAGTTCCTATTGGAACATTTCCTCCATCAGGTCAATGGATTGAACAGGATAGCAATGCCTGGCGTTTTTCTCGGTCTAAGGTTTGTATTTTCATTTTCTATTTATGAATCATATGTCCATAAAGTTTTTTTATAAGAACTCTAATATATTTAGACATTTTTCTTGTAGTGCGACCTTTAAGTAACCCTTAGTACATAGAAAGCATGTAAATACAGTCAAACCCCGATTTTGCGTTTTCTGTCTGATTAGCGATAAAAAACACTCGAAGCGGAATAACGTAAAATCGGGATTAAGAAAAATCTATGCATATTTTTAGAAATTGACACCTACCAGTTAAATTAATGGAAAAAATGAGTAATCTTTCCTTGCTTTTCGTTTCTAGCTACAATTCCGTATACAGCTCGTTCAATACTAACAATTTTTTGCAAATTTGCTTCTTGATTTACATTTGCAAGTAAAAATTTTTTTAGAGTTTTTATGCTTTGTATCGCTTGATCAGCTGTTGGCACGTCTTCTGTTATTTCATCGTCATCAGCACTATCGTCGGAATAAGGCATTAAATCACTTATGAAAGGGATTTCTGAAGTAATGATATCTGTGTCACAGTCAATGTATGCATCATCGACTTCCGGAAGGTCCTCAACTTCAGACACGCTACCTTCTTCTTCTTCCAAAACAACAGCGCTCTCCTCCTCCGATATTGAAAATCCGGCTTTATTGAATCCATTGATAATGCACTTTCGGTCGACACTGGCCCAAGCTGAAGATATCAAATTACGAGCCTCAAGAACATTAATTTTTGCCTTAGAAGCACCCTGAAAGTCTCCAGAATCAAGAAACATTAGAGATTTTCTAACCAGTTTTCGAAGAAAATTTTTAAATAATGCTTGCGTCATCCATGCTTTTTTGTTTGAAGTGTAATCGGTAGGAAAACTTTTGATAGTTTTGAAACACCGTGGTTTCTCTGCTCTACCGATCACAAGAGGCGTTAACTTTTGGCTTCCATCGGCATTTGCACAGAGCAAAGCAGTAAAGCGCATTTTTGAAAGCTTTCCTCCATGGCAATTTTCACCTTTAATTGTCAATGTCTTGTTGGCAATAGGTTGAAAATCAATCCCGTTTCGTCCGCATTAAATATGTCACTTGGATTATAGCCCTTTAATAAATTTGGCAGAGTTTCTTCTTTCCATTGTTACACAATTGTCATATCCACACTATCGGATTCGCAACAGATAGATTTGAAGCATAAATTGTTCCTTTTTTTTTGATCGATCGATCCAGCCATTTGATGCACTGAAGCCTTGGAGTTTAAGCCTTTCAGCAATTTCAAGCACCTTTTCTCTCAGGATGGATCCATTTATAAGAATCTTTGCTGCTCTGGCTTCCTTGAACCTGTTCATTGAAATGTTTTCTAACTCATCATACGGAGATGTTTCAAGGGTTTTTCTCTTCGCATATTTTCCGAGTTTTTCAGCGTTTAGTTCTACTGAAGCTTCTTGCTTTAAAATCATTTGCGAAGTTGAATAAGCAATACCCAAAGATTTAGCAAGATCAACTTTAGTGCCATGAAATTCTTTACCTTTTTCGATGATTTCGGCCTGAGAAAAGCATTTTCGTTTCGACATCTTCTTTCGAGAAAAGAACACGATGACTGAGGTCTCGAAAATGAGAAAAAATGCTATAGCTTTCAAACTCAACAATACCAACTGAAAATCTCATTTGGTATGCTAGCACGGAAAAATGAGTAAAACCATTTCGAATAGAATAATAAAAAAAAATTTGATCTGTTTGTAGAAAAACGCATCAAGCGGGATTTTCATAAAAGGGGTAACGCAAAATCCGGGATTTTTTAACATTATCGGTATAGGCAATTTTCACAGATCAGCAGAAAATTACGTGAGAAGCGGGATAACGTACGAAACGGACAACGTAAAATCGGGGTTCCACTGTAGTATAACTTAACATGGACTTGGCTATAAATTAAGCGAAAGTTGAGTTATAATAAAACATTAAATCAGACGAGTTGAGAAATTGGGTTATAGTTATTGGGAGTACATTTATATTTATATTTTAAATTATTTTGATTTATTAATTTTAATGTAATTGTATTTAAACATGCCTTCAAAATAAAATACAGTTACACCAAAGAATAAATATGAAGTGATTTAACATTTTAACTTACTAGAACGTTAAATCATTGAGAACCCTGAGCTTGTTTCTTTGCAATGAGACAGTTCCATCTTGGGGTAATCGGAGACGATACATTACAAACATTAAAAAATTTATGTCATACCTTCAGGGGCCCTTTTTTTTTTCAAATAAATAAAATTTTAATGGAACACAGATATTTTTAATTTGGGGTATAAACCTAGGAATTTAAATTCAATGCAATGGGCAGCCCGGTATCATTCGATCCACGGACCAGTACCAGTGCGCGGACTGGGGGTAGGGGAGCACTGATATAAACCAATTATAGATTTTCAATTTCGTCGGGTAAAAACATATTTATAACTTGATCTAACCGTATTACATAGATAGATTAAAACAAAAATATCATTTAATGCTGGCTGTTAATACATTAAGCATTTTATTTATTTATTTTTCTTCCTAATTTTTGGCTATAAGAATCCTTGATTAAAACTCATTTAATGTTTCTCAGGCATGGCTTAATACATATTGAGTGTGGTTTAATTAGCAAATGTTATTTAATATTTTCCATTATCATAATATTTTTATTTCTTTTTATTTACCAAATACAGTGTAACGTCCCTTTTCCGGAAGGATCGATTTCTCGGACACTTTTTAACAATCAAAATAAACATCTCTTCCCCTTTCTTTAAAAAAAAAAGGTCGTTTTACGCGTTTTCTTTTCTAGCTTACACTGAACCCCTGACTTATGCGTTAAACCCGTAAATCACAAAGGCAGGGATGAGATTTTTCCGCTTTTTAGCGGATTTCCGCTTTTTTCACTTTTATCACTTGAATTTCAGCTTTTTTGTCAAAAATTCAGATTTTTCTAAAAATTTCATTTTTTTTATAAGTATTCCGCTTTTTCAGAAAATTTACCAATTTTCCAAGAGAAACAGAAAATTCAAACTGCATAGCTACCAAACCTTTCTCATTTTTACTTATTTTAGCTGTTTTCTCTCTGTTTACTCACAGCAAATAAGATTTTCGGAATTTTTTACCCGCCCTCCTGATAGATCCGATTTTTTTAGTTCAGACGACGCTGCTTCTGACAAGCCTTTCAGAGGTCCCAAGCCTGGAATCTGCTAATATCTCGATCTCATTCACACGATTTTAATATCAAACATAGCTTATCATATTTGCTTGTTGCGATTCTGATTCACGTGATTTGAGTATTGTATGTTGCGATTCTTATTTACGAGATTTTAAAATCCGATATTATGATTCGTATTTACGCCTTTTTAAAAACCTATGTAGCGATTCATATTCACGCAAGTTTAAAATTCAATGTCTTGATTTGGTCATGCGGTTTATAATATCAAACATTGATTTTCGTATTTATACGTTATTTTAAAATAAGGCATTGGGATTCGCATTCACGCACTCTAAAAATTCATAATTCTTATTTATGCAATCTAAAAATTCCGCATCATGATTCGTATTTACGCGATCTAAAAATTATGAATCGTGATTTGTATTTACGCGTTTTAAAAATTCTATATCCCAGTTTGTATTTTCTCATTTTCAAAATCGTATATCTAGTTTCATATTCATGTGATTTCAAAATCCATAATTGTTATTCATATTCACGCAATTTTAAGATCAACTATCGCGATTCTTGTAAGAAGTAAATTTTTTTTAAAATTAGTTACTATAAAGGTGACTGTTTTTCTAACGACGATTATTAGTATATGTAAGTGTTACAACATCAGAGAAACTGGAAGGGAATATATTCAAAACTTACATTCTGTGCTTGCAAAGAAGAAAAAATAGGATTTGTCACAAGATGTTTGAAGATGGACTAACGACTAAATATAGCAAACATAAAAGATATAGCAAACAAAAGCAATCACTTAAAAAGGGATTTAATTAAAAAAAAATTTTTGGGGAAAAAGAGTTAATTAACTCATCATCAAAATTTTATTTATAATTGCTGTTATTTATGCTATAAAATGCAAAATTCTTATCAAATAAAAAACAATTATCTAAACAGTTGCTGATTGTCATGTAATTTTTCAAACTAAAATAGCAATTTTTGTATGTTAAGGAGTTACTATATATTTCTACTTCACTGTTATTGATATGTTTCAGAGGGCTCTAGTTAGATTAGACTATAATATGAACATAATGATTCGGTCCATTGTTAAAGTTTTTTTTTCCAATATAATTTAAAAAGTAATATTACTGATATATTTGCTATAAATCACATAACAGTATTTATTAAAAGAAATGAAATATTAATGTATATTCTCAGTAGTTTTAATTTGCTAAACCAGGTAGTTTTTCAAGTAATAATTGTCTCTTATGTGAACTGAGGAAAAATATAATTTCCAGCTTTTTTTTTTCAATTGGTAATTTTTATTTTCACTAAATGTTAAGTATCAATGTAATCATTTATATAATAATAGATTAGTACCAATTGTATGTCAACACATTATTTATCACCTTAAACTGTCTGAAATTTATTATTAAAAGGTTGCGCTTGCGTAAAATTTACTATTGTGGAAATTCAGCTTTTTTGCCTTTTGGCTAATCTCATCCCTGACAAAGGGGAAGGTAAGAAGGCAAGACCATTGAGTGACGCTCCTACTCTGGAATGCAGGAAGAGAGGGAGATATGTTTTCAAAAGACCGCAACTGAGTCCTCTCCCCCCTCCTTTCCTATGCAGCTGGCTAGTGAAAGAGGCCTTTCCTGGAACCTTTTTATTGAAAGAATAGGGTAAACGCGGCAAGCGTTAACGTGGAGGAGGAGTCAAAATGGAAAATTTGAATAGGTCTAAAAAGATACACGTCCTTGAGAAACATTCGTTCTTTAGCAGATTCTTTCAGTCATACAAGAAAAAATAAAGAGAATCCCATCAGTGTGCCCCGCCTTTATGCTTGATTGATAGCCAGTGATTGGAGAGAAAACAATAATTTGTCACTTCCCCGCCCTAAACTTGAATGATCTCCTCTTTACACTTATTTTCTTTCACAAATAAGGAGAAAATGAATTTTTCTCCTCCACCTACCCACCTTGACGGGAATTTCCCTTTCTTGCTTGAATCGTTTCAGTTAAAAATGGCGGATTATTATTTTCATAACTCAAATTTTTTTCATTTTCCATATTTTCAGCAATAATATTTTTTTTCTAATACATATTTTATATTTGATTTATTAGATATTCTAATACTAAAACCTTATTCCCCTTAAAAATAGTGTGTATTTATTAAAATAATGTGTATTTATTTTAAGCTTTGTTTACCTTGGGAGTCTATTTTAAGGAAAAATCTATTATACGGACTTCTGGAAGTCTCACCAATTCCGGATATGCGACTTTACACTGTAATGTTTTATAATTATTATTGATGAAGGAATTAAAGAGTGAATAGTTAATATGGGTAATCAATCTAACTCAGATATTCAGGTGGCAAATAGTTCAGTGAATTTTGTTTTTAAATAAAGAAAAATATTTTAACCCTGTAATTTGTGGTAAAAATAGTTTTATTGCACATTTCTTCTAATTATATGTTATTTTTCACCTTAGGTTCTTTCTGCAATATATCTTCTGATTCCAATCACACATGATGACAGTATACTGATTATTGCCACTGGCCTTGTAAGTAATTTTGTATTCTTGTATTAAATTATAAAATTTTCATATTATATTCTCATATTTTGCTAATTTACTTCACAGATTTTTTTCCCTTTTTCTTCCTTTATCTTTTAGTGCTAGTATAGTTGATTTCTGGGGCTGAGAAATCACAATGTTTCATAATACTATCTTTATTGACAAACATCTTTAAGAATCTAGAATTTTGCTTGAATTATTTCAGTTTTTATAATTTTTACAACTTATCCCTGTAAATTTTGTTTTAAATATTAGTGATGTAAAATATATTCAGTTTGCATCTATTTAATTGAAGATTATTGTATTTAAGTATAAAAAAGAAATTATGACATTAAAATTTTATATATGAAGTAAATATTTCTCAGAAAAATAAACAACTTAGTAAAGGCATTATGACTTATGTAAATGGTTACAACATCTAATATTGACTAAGAATGTATTCAGTAAAACCCTTATTTGATTTAAAATTTTCTAACAATTTCCAAATTTCCTGCTATTTAATGTAAATGTTTCAAATTTTCAGTTTCAAATATTGGTAGGTTTTTTAAGATATTGCTTTTTCAAAACTAAGCTGTAAATAAGTTATTTACTTGAGATTTTGTCAATATTTTATTACCAAAATTTTGAGTTTTAAAACTAGTATTAGTATTACTCTTTAAAGATTTGTTATATTGCTGATAGTTTTGAAAATGTTACAGGTTAAAAAAGAGTGGATATATGGATGTACTGAACTGTCTAAATCAGAAATGACAACATGGTAATCTATTACTATGTATTTTCTATGTATATTATTGTTTTTCAAAATTATACTTTCCTCATTTTCTTATTATATAACTTACACTCAGCAAATTTCTTCATTTTTTTAAAAAAAGTTTAAGGTACTAAAACATTCAAATCTAATAACCGTAATTAAAATGAAGTTAAAAAGTTTAACATAAATGCAAATTTCTTTTTTTTATTAAGACAAAAAATTAAATAAAAAACACAAAAAAAAGTTAAAAATAAAAATAAAATACATATCAAGGGTAATTGTATTCTGAGTATAACTCAGAATTACGGGTTTTTCATATCATTCTTCCAGATTTTAAAACTAAAGAGCCTGTGACTTTTCTCTTCATTTGTGGAATTCTAAGAATCTCAAGACTTCATTTGTAGACTTAAGCAAGTCGAAATCTTATATTCCATTAAAAGTTTTACAGAATTCTGCAAATCTAAAGTTTAAATTTCCTATTTTTGTAAAATTACATTACTGAATTAATTACTTATTCCTTTCCTTATCATTATCCCTTTTCTTATTTGACTGAGATCTCGTTCATGGCCATAACAAGTTTTTTTTATAGCTAAATAAGAAAACGATTGTAAAAATGATGCAAAAACAAATGTGTAAAATTAATAGCATAATAAATTTATAGTGGTTCTGCAGTCGTGTACTTTTAAAAAATTGCTCATTCCAAAATTGGTTATTTTTTGATGTTCGAATCTCGCTTTTGAGTAGCCATTTTGAAATTATATGGTCCCTTTTCATCTTAAATCTATGTAATGTTTTCGACAATTATTGATAATAATTTTTAAGCATTTTTAAAATACCAATATTTATTATGAGATATTATGATACTTGAATTTGTCAGTTCACTTTCCTAATCCAAACACACATTTGACTATTTTAGCCGATTTAATTTTTTGACCCACTTGATTTGAGCCGATTCCATTGTAAATTGAAGTTTTGGGCTTTTATTGCTAAGAATTTTTACACATCTACATGATTTTTAAATTCTTGATTTTTTAATGCTATTTTATTTATTACGGCACTCTAATTTTTTAATTACACATCAGAGTAATTACTTTTTGACAACTGATTTGTGGGATTTTGTCGTTAATCCAGGTTGTTCTGTCACCAATTCCTTTTTTAGCTGTTATTGCCACAAATTTCATAGTATTTAAAATAAATCCTACTTTCTTCCCAATACAATTTGCAAAATAAGTAAAAGAATGGAATATGATTTTTTTTAGTATGAGAAAATCTCCCATAATGGTTCATCATAGCTATGTATAGTCTTCTCAAATGTTTTTGCAATTTATTAATTTTGAATGCTATGTAAGGTAATTAATTTATACCAGATTGTAGTGATTTCCCCAATTGTCCTTTTATAGTTCTATTAAATATACATGTAAATAAACTACTCGCAAACAAACTACGCATAAACATTAAATTTCTAACAAAGTGATTATTAGTCATAATATTTGCAAATCAGATTTGACCAAATCATTGTGATGTTGCTTATCCTGCCATGTTCATTTTCATTTTGCTTTCACATATTATCCCTTTTCTAGAGATAAAATCGTGGCTAGAGTTGTTTCATTATAAATTTATTTCAACAACATACTATACAAAAAAAAAAAAAAAAAAAAAAAAAAAAAAAAAAAAAAAAAAAAAAAAAANTTTTTTTTTTTTTTCATTTTGAAAAATATTATATCTATTAACTGCAAATTATTTATGTTTCATTTGCAAAATACTTAATTATTCCTGTAGTATATTCTTGTAAGAACTATTTAGTTGTATATATAATTACAGGATGTGTAAAGTAGTATTAAAATGTGATATATTTATCATTAGTAGGTAATTAAAACATAAATCTCAGTTAAAAAAATTCTAGTAATCTGTAGTTCGTAGAACTATTTGTGTATTATTTTTGTTATATAAATTAATACCTTGAATATCAAGTTTTTGTAGTAAAATTTAAGAGGGATTTTACCTCCTTTCTGTACATAGGTTTTAAAAAAAATTTCTTAATTAATTAAACTTAGTACTTTTTTTACAACTTTGAAGCATAAAATTATATAATAAGCTTCACAACCTTTCTTACTGTTCATAACTTATTCGGCAAAACTATTTTTTGCAGAATCTATTAAGTAGCACCAATCTTATGCTAGCAATAAAGTCTTACCAAAGTTCAAAAAATATCAACATTTTTGCACATCTTAACATCTTTTCACTTATTAAAGAAAAGTATATATTCATTTAAAGAAAATGCAACATAATCCTCCGAAATGACCAGAAAGGCAAAATAAAAATGAAAAAAACTTCACAAAATTCATAATTATATTCAAAATTTGATAATGGTTATTTTATTGTATTTTTGTTTGAATATTTTCTTGTCCAGCCAGTTATTTAGAGATGCTGCTTGAGTATGTAATTTTCAAACCCTTATTCACTGGTTTCATAGTAATTTACTGTCTCAATTTGGTGTAATTTCTAGGTAATGAGTTTTTAAAATTGTCATAATTTTAAAAACCAGACCAGCTGATTAACATTAAATATAATATAGTATTTATCTAACAATTCAATAAAATAGTTTCTTTTTCTTGAATAAATTGTAGTGTATAAAAACTAATGTATTTTGTAATAGTTCAGTTGGGGAGAATTTGTCAGACAAAGGTCAAATTATTCCATCCAAAAGTAAAAAAGGGGAAAGAAGAATGATTGTGGTTGATAGTGAAGAGCTGAAAGATAAGAAATACTTGTATCTTCTGGTTTATATCACTCCTTTGGACTCCCAGGTATGTTATTTAATTAGTGAAATAATTAAATGTCTAAATTTATTCAAGGTAATTAATTATGTTGGATTGATTTTAACGTGTTTAATTTATATCAATTAACCTTAATATTTAGTAATTAACTATGTTTTTATAAGATTAATTTTTGAACTATATGCAATTTTAGCCTGCCTCTGTATAACGATCTCTTGCTGGACTTATCAAGTGTTAAGAGTTAGTTGCTATTCTAAGTCTTCAACAAATTGATTGTTAAAAAAAAGTAAAATTGAATGAATTAAAAGACTATCTAATGCCAAAAGTGTATAATTAAGTAGTGTACTCCTTTTTTTTTTTTCTGTCTCATAAACAATTTGCCATTTATAGCTGTTTCTTCTTAAGTGGTGTGAGAGATATCTTAACAGACTTGGTCTTTGAAGAAAAATATATGTAGTAAAGATCACTTTCAACTTTCAAAAGCTTGAGTTAAAAATACTGAAAAAAGTTGACTAAGATATGCCCTTAAATAATATTCAGGTTGAGTAACAGGTGATCATTGTTTGAAAATGGCTATTAGGTTCCTATGTAAGACATTTGGTTTTATTAACCTAAGACTATTCTTGAAAAGTAGACTTATTTAGAGGTGGTCATTAAAGAAGGTTTAACTGTATATAATTGTATCAATTAAAATTAATATAATCGCTATGGTTTGTTAGATGTTTAATTTATTGCTGTTGTGTTAATTTTTTGTAATTTTTTCTTTATTGTATGTTTATCTCTTTGACTAATATATTTTTTTTTTTGTATAAATTTAAAAAATTAAAATATAACTTTTTTAAGGTTGATATTATTGGCGAAAGGTTCAATTCTAATCTCCGTTCCAAAAATATAGAGCTTCCATCCCTTATACAAAGATTCTTCAAGCCACCTGTCAGACTTTTAAGTGTCTCATTGCCTGAACAATCTATATTCTTCAACATTACACTCAAAAATAGTTATGGTATATATGAGTCTACAGAACTGCAACTTGAAACAAGACTTTGTAGAGCTGGAAGTGTTGTTGGTAGGTCCTAATTAATACTTTGTGCATAACTTATATTACTAAGAATTCCATGTTGCTCGCCAACCGCAGATGCAATATTACCAAACAATAGGCTTGCAAAACTAGCAACAATTTAATTCCAAGTTCCCTCCTTATTGGAGTGAGCTGATCCATTTTTTGGAGGGGGAGAAGAGCAGTTAGTGCATTGTATTTTTTGCCCTGTTATTTGGTTAAGGTGACCATTTCTCAATTTACGCTTGCCCAATATTCAATTAACTTTTGTTATTGTGGTTTTTTTAAGTAAAAGGTCATTGCCAGTATTCCCTTAACTGAAAGTTTTTCAAATCTAAGTTCTGTAAAATTCATAATCACCTTTCGGAAAAATCAAAAATAAATTCTGTCTGCTGTATCTCTTTCAGAAAAATACAAATTTTTACCTTTCCCCATCTACAAAAGGTAAAGCACTCCATCCCAGAAAAGTTGGAATTGAAGGCATAGTGATTCACGCTTGTAACCTGGACACTGCTTAAAATAATATGCATTAAAAAAATTTTGCAACATGCAATTTATGAAATTTAATTAACTTTATTTAGTTATTTTTAACTATTACATAAAAAGTGATAAGTTTTAATATTTTACCATTTATTGCATATAGTAGGACATTTTTAAATTGTATTTCTTTGTATTTTGGTCATTAAACAATGTCTGTTATACTTGAATAATGATTCAGTGTACGCTCTTTTGTACAAACCCTAATTCATGCTAATCTTCCATTATAATGACTACTACATGAGGTCCTGTTCTATAAACGCAATGTTATATCCCTTAGAACATCCAAACTCAACTGTTCATTTCAAGCAGTTGAAATTTTGAAGTTGAAATTTTGTTTAATTTTTTTTTTTTTAAATTCTCTGAAAAACCAGTTCTGTTTTCAAGCGAAAGTAAACTAACTATTAAAACTAGTCTACTTTAACGAGTTTTGTGGCGATTAGTAAAAGTTTTTTTATGATCAGTAAAAATAAAGTAACTCGAAAAAAACTATTCAAACCTCTATTTCTTTTAATTCATATTTTCACTCAATAAACATGAAATATCTTAAATAAATGAGTGAAAAAAGTATAACAGGCCCTCCTATTTCAAACCTAGGAAGCATAATCTAAGGTCAAAAGAATTGTGTAATACGGATTATTTACCATTATTAAAAATTTTAATCATTTAGAAATTGGATTTTTTTGTATAATCGTAACCTTTTAAAAAAAATTTCAATGTATTTATCAATCGCATTTTTCTTTTGAAAATTGTATTCAATCTTTTTGTAAAATAGAGGTGGTTAATTTTGAAGTTGGTATTATTGACATTGTTTTTAATTTTAGTTTTGCTCATTCTCTGAACATGTGTTATTTAGTGAAAATGGCTGCTCCTCACTAGTAATATTATAAGCTTAGAGAAGAAATTAAAAATTTTAAAGGAAGTGAATAGTAGAGTAACACAAATTTCTAAATTATTTAAGATGACGAAAAGCACATTGTTTACAATAACTAAAAATTGTGATGTAATTCTAAAGGCAACAGAACAAAGAGTTCTAATTTCTTGACGTTATTCTCGTGAAGCAAAATTTCAAAATCTGAAAGTGAACTGAATGAATGTGTAAAGTTTATGTGTTTTTTGAAAGTTTTCATTTGAAAAAATTTAAATGTAATTTTGACCCTTAATGTACTTTATTAAAAAATGCTTTTTCTTTATTGGCAAAAAAGAAAACACTGCATATTAGTCAGTTTCATAACTCTATTCAAAGTGTAGTATGTTTTTACCAAAATGAATCTAGTATTTATGAAATATAAGTAAATATTTGCAATAATGTTATGTATTCAAAATTTAGCAATTTTGTGGTATAATGTTGTGTGTTTACGTTTGGACTACAACTGTCGCTATACTGTGTTGACTATATATTTATAGACCATATATCTGTTTAAAAGGTTACTGGAATTGAACTTTAGACCTTTCTTATAATTTTACAACGGCTTTGTGAAGGTAAACAAACAAAAAAGATCATACATGTAAAGTAATAAAATTATACTGAACGTTGTTCTGCATATTGTATGCTGGGTTTCAAGAAATTGAACTATTTTTATTTATTTTAATAACTTTGTGAATCATACCTGTTTACAATTTAAATGATTAACATTACTTAAGTACATGAATTTTTAGTATGTAAACTTATATCATGATTTCTTATGTAGGTCAAGGTCTTGTGAAAATTCATCTGCCTTGCAACAATGAAGATTCTTATCACCATATCAGGTTATATTGTTTTAACTGCTTGCATTGTATTATTTTTTATTCTTTCTAAATTGCAGAAAGGAACAATTTATTTTGAAAAATAGACCACAAAAACTAGCCACGTAAGTAACGTTACTTTGTAATCATAAAAATGTGAGTTCATTTGGATCCTATTTAATGATAACATATATGACTCACAGAATTTAAACTAATTTCTTTATATTGCAAGTAATGATTGTTAACAATAAATAAATAATTTATTGTCAATAAATCTAAACAAATGTAGATATATTGCAAATCAATTTTTTGTAGCACATTTATGGGCTTATAAAAGTGGAAAATTAGAAAATAATATCTTTCAACTACTTCTATTGTTAACTTTTTTTGTTATTTAGAAAACAAATTTTATTACTAATACAGAATCGGAATTAAATAATTGTTGTCATTAAATGTCTTCTTCTAATGTTAAAATTTTTTATGTTAGTCTTTTTAATGTTAGAATAAATTTATGAAACTTGTATAACAAAATAAAGTTTGAGCTTGTTGCAAAATAATGAGTAATCAAAAGACCTGGATTACTAGTAAAACAAATTTGAAATACAGTGATACCTCGAGATACGAGTTTAATTCATTCCGTAACNCTCGAAGGGTGAGGTTTCTGTTTTCTGTCACCTCAAAGCAGCGCCGGAACAGGTGCTTAGTGTACAGCTTTTTAAAATTAGAAATCACCTGCTGATCCATGGGCTGCAGGATAGGAGTGGTGGTAGATAGAGAACCTTTATAAACTTGAACTCTTCGAGGATGTCATGTTCGAGGTTCGGTGGGTGAGCAGGAGCATTGTCGAGGATGAGAAGGACTTGCCTGGCCGTTCCTCGTATCTCAAATGTCACTCGTATCTCAAAACAAAACTTCGCTCGCTCGACAGCTCGTATCTCAAATAACTCGTATGTTAGGGCACTCGTATCTCGAGGTACCACTGTACTATAATATTTTTCTTCCACTTTATAAGAAAAAGTTTTTTCGTTTTTCCCCCTTAAAAAAAACTTTTGCTATGGTTTTTTAAATAATATTTAAAAATTTTCAGGGACCAATTCCAAATTTCTTCAAGTGTCACAAGTTGTGCTAAAATGTGTTTTCTCTTTTTGTAGGACTACAATGGGAGGATTAACTACTATACCTGTAAAACCTCACACCCTACCTTCATTTGAATCTGGCTGTGAAGTCCATTTAGAGTTATATTTAGATCCAGAATGCAGCATTGTTTTATATGCCAAATTCCCTTTCTATCTTGCCTCAAGTCAAGTAATACTTCTTTAATTTATTATTCTTGTAATGCTTTTGTGCTCTTGAAAGAGCTTTCTTTTATTCAAAGTATCAATAACAAACAACACATTGTTCAGCCAGTGGCGTGTAGAGACGTTTGGGTGCCTAATGAGTCTTCTCAATTAAATGTTTTTGAAAAGAAGGGTATTGCTTCTGCAGGGAGAAAAAGAAAACAATTTAATGTCAAGAAGGAAAAAAAAACCCAATCCATATTTTATAATCTCTTATGTAATTTAAATGAATTATTCTAAGGGGGAGGGGAATTATTGACAACCTAATATTCTTGAAATTTTTTTTTCTTAAATGCAAAGAATATATAAATTTTAATGGTTAAATTTATTTGAAAACTTTATTTTATTTTACCAAAAAAATATCTGATTCTGTGGAATATTTACCAGTTAAAATATTAATTTCATATTAAAATTTTAGTATCCTTAGTTTTCAACACCTTTTTATCTGGATGTCTGAGCACCTCTTCCTTCATACTTTTCTTCCTAATATTTTTGTTAACTTAGGTTTTTTTTTTTACTTGCCCACTTTTTTTTTAATTTTCTCAATTCTAATATACTGCCTTAATTCAGCAATGATGAGGCTTTTTACATAAAAAGTAGGCTAAGTATCGCCTAACTATGCATAACTAATGCTTTTATATTTTATGTAAGTAACAAACAAATAAAGATTTTGTGGGTGAAAAGTTAATTTTGCATAATAAATCTTTAAACTGTAATTTTATCTCAGTTTTCATTGTCACTAGTGTACTTCAGTTTGATTATTCTGCTAAAAAATTTTGCTAAAAAATGTTATCTGCCAAAGAAAAGTATAATACTGCAGTCCAAATGGAATCAAGAGAAAACTTTAAAAATCTTGAAAAGGAATATAAATCAACAAAATGGACTTTAAAAATCTATTAAAAAATTATTTAGGTGCTGTACCGTGGTTTATTGGTGCACCTTGAT